ATACCGATCCTCATTATGTCACTCTGAGTACTGAAAGAGCCGCTGCCCTAGATTAGATTACTGCCTACAAATAGTTAAGGATCTGGGATATTGTAATTTTAGGGAAATGCGAAGATTAGCTCAGGAAAGAGTGGAGGTGCGTGTCCAACCGGTCTTACAACTGACGACCTTATGATGATGAGGTATATAGGACTGACAAGAAGGTTTTTTGAGGAGCATAATAAGAACTTCAACTTTAGAAATTGAAGCTGAATTTTGAAATTTTACACTATGCTGTTAGTGGAAGCCTAAAGTTTAGTTTAAGTATTTTGATAATTACAAATTAATAAATACAAGAAACAAAATATTATATTGTAAGATCTAGTGGAAATAACTAATACACTTCTGTTAAATGTAAAGTTATAAATTTATTCCTCCCTTGTTTGAAATATAAACGTTTAGTGCCATAATCTATACAGTGTGTTCCTTCACCTGATGAAGTTGTGGTAAAGCGAAATAATTTCTTCCATTTTTAGTTCGTATTTCTATTATTTTTGTACCTGCACACATATACGTTTATAGAAAGTAACGTAGGTGTACAAAAGTACATGTTTAAAGTACGGACTAAGTTTTCGTTTCTCCGACTGCTGAGCATCGGCATCAAATCAGTCACGTTTTAGAGAGTTATCCCAGATGATGAAGACCGTTTTCGGAAGAAAAGCCAACTCGTAAAATAAATCCGGCGCATAAACTGCAAATTTTATGGTTCGTCGTGATTTTATTACGCTCATACATGTATGTATAAGAGTCTGATTATTGATATCCGTTTTTCCTACAAGCTATAAAGGGTTTATGCAGAGGATTGTTGAGAGAGCTTTAGCATAAAGACGTATATATTTTCCTGCTTTTCCTTTTTGTGTCGTAAATCTTGCATTTTTATTTTCTTCCACTTACCTTCGAATTTGTGCAGTTTGTAGGGATAAACCAGTACTAAAACATTAACATAAAAGTTAATAAAATAATCCGAAGTAGTCTGTATTCTGTCGAAACTGCCAGACGCGGATCGCGATTTCGATCTTTTTGGATCTCATCAGCGCGTCGCAGGCAGCTCCGACAGAACACAGACCAACTTTTACCTGCTGTCTTAACAG